TCAACTCCTATTATGGGGTCAAAGTGGGTGATTGAAGTTATGGGGCAGACAGTCCAAATGACGCATACGAATTTATCATGAAGTGTTTTACTCGGAGGGGAGGAATTAATAAGTAGTTCACTTAGTTAGATTCGGTGCTACTAAATTTGTGTAAGCAGCAATTTTTTACAAAACGTACTTACCTAAATTAGCCAAAAAAGTTTTAATCGCTACCTGATTTTATTCAAAGCTGACGCGAATCTTAAATTAATTAGCACCTAACTTAACAAAATGTCCTTAACTGCCCCAACATTTTTAGATTGGTTTTTTGTGCATATTTGAAAATGCACTGCAAATCATTCCATGTTATTTAAAGCATGTGTTTTTTATTAAAAGTTATTTCTTCAAAGAGCGGAAAACTTCACCGCTCTAATTTTTTTAACACTAGATATTTATCACTACACTACCTCATTTGTTTAAGATAATTTTCACGTTTTCTTTCATTTTTGAGTATTAAACTTCGTGATTAATACTTCGTCCATCTAAACAGTCCTCCAGTTGACTTAAGCTAGAGTTCAAACTTTGTATCGCCTCCTTAGTACTATCTAAAAATGCGGTATACACCGGAAATCGCCTCTCTCATGAACAGGAATTGTACAACGTCCATTAAATCTTCATTTGGAACTGAAATTAAGTTGTCTTCGGATCTATTCTTGCGGCCGCATTTCCAGGACCTCCTCAGATTGGTGGATCAATGCACCTGTCGCATTACCTGGGAAGACTCTCGGATATTAATTGATTCCTTATCATCATATCTTTTTCCTATTGTTCAAGAGCGCCTTCAAACCTCCAACTTTGTCCTGGAGCACAGTGAAGTATACGAGGATGTATATTACTTCGTGGTGCTTCAGCCTCCAGCTTGACTTCAGCACGTACAGCAGCTTTATTAAAAATTAAAGCTGAACATTCACCCGTCTTTGCTTAATAAACTGCTTTTGATTTCTTAGGATTGTCAGTTTTTTGGTACACGTACGGAGGGCTTATCTATCTCATCTCGGTTTCGAGGAGCAGTGACCTTAGAGTTGTCGAAACTGTTAATTGGCAATGGCATTGATACTTAAATGGTATGGATTATTTGGCCCGATCAGAAGTAGAATTTGAGATTTTAGAAAATACCTTTAATGCAAGATATTGGCACCTTTGAAGGTGAAGTAAACTTGGAGATAGTTTTTCCTCATGAGTGACGTGAATATGCCCAAAATTAGTATTCTGCAAACAAATAACTTACTTAAAGATAATGACAGTTATTCACACCCATTTTTTTAAATAAATGGCCAGTGATTTAACTATTTTTGTGAGTTTTGAAGCATTTTAAGTAACACATGAAGAGATGAAGCCTAGTTTTTGGCATAAAACATTTCGGTCTTTCTTAGTAGGATGCAATTACGGGAAGCTTCGCAGCGTTTTCAAGTTGCCTTTTTCCTTGGCAGGATGTCTGAGGATGGTACGCATTCACATAATCAAAAAAATTTTTGGCCCCTTGAGTAAAAGTGAGTGAACGTAGGTACTGCACACATTTTCGTTCAGAAAGGCAACTTCTTAATGTAACCTAAAAGAAGGTCAGTGAGCTCCCCTCCACACAGTCTGCACTTGAATTACAAAATGGAGGAATGTCCCGATCTGGCCAGGCAGAGAATTAAATTGTACATTAATTGTCTTATTTCGGAGGAAGTTGTCCAGAATGAATTGGAAACAAAAGGTTAGCGTGGCGATACATTTTGAATTCTGTCACTGCCGTCAAAAAGTAAAAAAGGTGTTTTTCGGGAAGGAAATTCTGTACTGAGATTAGGGAAGACTAGGGATTAAGTGATCAAGAATTTTGACTTTCTTGGATACCTTAAAGCTAATAAGTCTGTGCATAATAATAACAGGCACCTGTTGTTAACACTTTTTTTAAAGTTTACTGTAGTACTTATATTGTTTTAATGTTCCTTCTGGAGAGGAGGCAGGGATATAAATCGAACCTCGTGACAGAAGAGTCGACGTCCTGCAAGTCTGAGAGTGGTTACGGATCCTCACACTCCCAAACTTTGTATTGGTTTTCACAATTCACTTCCCCCAATAAATCTGTCGAAATCAAACCGACCTGGTTGTTTCAAGAGTTCGAGGAACAGGGAAGAGGAGACCTACGAGCCTCGCCCCATAATATGTTGCCTTGTTAAACAACCTATACACACACCTTTTAAAATTTGCTTTACGCAAATAATTTCCTAACAATATTTATATCAGACCTTGTTTGAAATATTAAAGCTCGTGATAAACACCTCGTTGATCTTAACAGTTCTACATTTGACTTGGTCGAGAGGTCAGACATATACTCATCTCAACAGAATTGCCTATAGATGAGGTATACAGAAGAACTTGCCTCTCTTATGAACATTAAATGCACAAAGTTTATCCAATTTCCCTCTAAAATGAGCTTCATTTGTCGCCAGACCTACCCGTTCATACTCATTTTCAAGAGCTCCTTAGGTTGCTATATCAATGCACTTGTCGTATTGCACTGGACAACTCCCTAATCTTGATTGACTTCTTATCAACACATTACTATCCAATGTTCCAGCATTGTCTATGTACTTCTGGCTTTGTTCTAGAGCACAATGAATTACATAAGGTTGGATATTACTTTGTGGTGCTACGCCAGCAAAATCAGCTCACTCCCATGGAATAGCTATCCAAAAACATTTAATAATTGAAACCAACTTGTTGATTTACTTGACTGTTTTCCAAATTCATTGAAATGTTGGTTGTTTTAATGCATATTTTTAGGGGATTTATCGGCTCTACCTCGGTTTTGAGGAGCAGTGATCTTAACTACCTCTGAATTGTCACAAGGCAGTGGCGTTGTTGACTGAAAGATGTGGGTTATTTGGTTTTTTCATAAATAAAACCTGAAAGTATAGGGGGTAGTCTTGGCTCATGACATTAGAATCTACAGCGTTGAAGTTGACTTATGTAAAAGATGCGCGATTGTTCACAAAGTTAGCTGCTCTGATTTGATAATATGACCTAACTAGATACCTGTACATTTGCTCGAACCCATAGTGCTAGTAATTTACAAGGGACAAAATAATTTCTTGCGAGGCTTTTACAAGTAACTGACCGCGCAAATGGATAATTAATTACCTAGTTTTAGCACAAAGTAAACGCACCATCTTCTTAAGTCAAGTGCACTTCTAATAATTTTTGCGGTTTCATGAGTTGCCTTTTCTTCGTAGTATTGTGTCCACCAAAAGATATTTCGCCACAAAGTAAATAAGATTCTAGGCACTTACTAAATGTCGGTAAACATTAGGATTGAAGAAATTGGACTTCTCGTTGGGACCTGAAAGATGATCAGCAAGTTCTCCTCCACACAGCCCGCATTTGAACGACCAAACGTAGGCTTGTGCGTTTTGAGCTGCGAAAAAATTAAATTTGAGCATAGCTTATGTATTAGGCAGTTACGGCATTTGGTACAATAGAAAGTTTAGATGGTGGCGTTCCAACAAAGTGGTTGTTAATTCAATAAAAAGGCCTTTTGTTGAGGACAGTCACTTTTACTCTAATTAAAAAATAGCCACTTGCAATTGATTAAGTGATCTGACTTGCTATGACAATCGTCTGACCATTGAAATCCCGGCGCGATAAAATGGCACCTGTGGAGCGTAGGGCTACAACCATAGACCCTATCTGGAGGTTTAAATGAAATGAATAAAGAACACGGATTGTGAAGAAAGATATGAGAAGTGCACGCCAAATATGCATTAATTATTCCAAAAATCTGAAAGCTGCCTTTGAATTTTACAGAACAAGCAGTAATGTTCAGTGCTGTGTCGGGCTTGATGTTGGCGCATTAAATCAATGTGTGACGCTTTATTCTCCTCCCAACATTTTAATAATTTGCATAAAGGAGTCTTGACTAGTCAACTGTCAGCTTTAAGTAGATGGACCCAGAAGGACGAATCTGATCAAATCTATGTTATCTGTAGATATTTGGTGGTTAGATGGTTAGTTAGTTGTTGAGTAGGCCAGTCGGTCCGGTAGTAGCTAAAACTGAAATATGTTTGATTGCAAAGATTGTTTGATCTTCGAGAGGTGGATGATTCCTCGGTTCGAATGACGAAGGTGACTGCTCAAATGTTGCTATATAATGTCAGTTTCCTTCCGGAGTCACATTCAATTTTCCTACGGATATGTTGCTAGTACATATGGCAGTGATTAAATGGTCAGTGAGAGAAAATGCATAACTGACAGCAAGGTGATTTCGAACCTGAGAAGATACGGCCATCTTGAATACCATTAATTGGCAAGATCGGAGACAAATGCGCTTCCCTTAAGACCAAAAAAAGACCTGGTTGGTCATTTTATACGTTTTTGTATTAGGCACTTTGAAAATCAAATCAGAAGGAAATGTGCTTTTGCTGCTGCAGTGATTTAAAGACTTGGGCTTGTTTTCAGCATAGATAAAACTGTCTGATAATTTGGTTGCATAAATCCGCCCTCCCTTGGCATTTTTGTCAAGTTGTCAAAACCTGCCATCCTCTTAAATAAAGTGTTCTTATTTCTACTCCGCTTTGGAATCCTTCCAACATTACGCCTCATTGCAATGTGGACTTAGAGGGCACTTAGACACAACGATTGCAGATGACTACGAGTTCGCGGAATGTCCTTATGTTTTACCAAGTTACTACTGCAGAGCATAGTCCAGTTTAAAAGGGAATTGGCATCAGGTTGCCAGTTCCTGTGTTTGACAGTAGCCAAGCCTACGTTAAATCAGTGATATTTTTGGGTACTGCTTTTTTACGTACCGTTATTTAAAGCACCGGTGATAGTTGATGTCATGGCTAAAATAGTGAATAATTAGCTAGAAACATCAGCAACCAAAAAAATGGGCATCAGACCCGGTTGGTTTTAATGAAACGGCTTAAGACAATTAAACTGCTTACAAAGGATGACACAGACCTTCTAAATTGTTGAGGAAGACTTTAGTAGAATTACAACGATGGGGCAAATTACAAAGATAAATCAAACAAGCGAAATAACTTAGCCTTTACCATCACAAAGCCTAGTCGATGCTGCTACGCCTTGTTACGATTCATCAATACATTTATTGGTTAATCGCGCAAGACACACGCCTCCACAGAGGCACCGAACTCAACAGTACTGTGAAAATTCAGGCGATCTGCCACCTCTGAGCACCATAAGTTAATGCTCTTTAGAACAAAGTTGCCTTATGGGAAAGATCATCGTCTTGTGGGTTCTTTCATTGCGTATGCCGACATATTATTATGTGATATTATAAATTCCTCATCAGGGTAATGGGTACATGCAAGTTTTTTAACCGTTGATGGAAATATTGTTTTTTAAAATATTGGCTATTTTGCTGACGAGTAGGCAAATCAAAAAAGGGGATTTTTTGTTATATTTACTTGAATTTAATTGCTATTCAATCAAAGATATGTAAAACAGAAAATTACGCAAATTAACTCAAAAATGAACGTACAACTCTGATGAAATGGGTGGTAATTCTCCCGATTTTTCCCTAAAACTAACTAGCAACTCTTTACCACTAGCAGTCACATCGTATCTTTGCAAAAATGTTTCGAACATACGAAATGGTAGTACAATATGTTGTTATAGGAACTTTTCCTTTAAAGATATTTTTTAATATAACCCGAGTCAAAATAAGATTATCACTGTCGTGACATGATGGATCCGAGGAGCAAAATCGTGAACTTAGACCAAACACGTACATCCGCAATGAGGATACGATCAGGGCTTGGTTCACAAGACTTCATATTTCTGTTCTTTGAATAGAAAGAGAGAAGTGTCACTCGAGTTCACTCTGATGTCAATACTTTCTACGAACTCATCTTCAGAGCACGCACAACGGAGAAATGCATCTTTGGTGTGATACTAGACCTAAATTTATTGCCAGGCCTCTGTTGCCCAACCATTTAACGTTGAAAAGTGTGTCATTCTGGGACCACAATCACCAGCATTTTTCCACTTTACAATTTGGTATCTCAACCGATATGGCTCTGCGAACAAGTTCATTCGCCAGGTTTGTGTCCTTCAAATGCACCAATTTGCTTCCATTTTCTTGTTAACTGACAAAATCGACTTTTTTCTACCTTGTTCCTGTGTTCGGCCAAGTTTTATTTTTTGAATTTATTTTTGTTAACAAAATATCTATTTTAAATCATTATTTAACAGGAAAATATTTATTTTATATGTAAAAATGGTATGTTCAGTAAATTTGTCAAGGGGATTCCTTGAAGGAAGTTTAAAGACAGAAATGTTACAATAACCACTTCTTTTTTGGAATCAGACAGATCACTATCAGAATATTTCGGGGATTCTGACTTGTTTCTTAGAGGAAAAAAGGAGTGTCACATTAAGTGGAGCTTTTGTGGAAAAAGGCTGGCAGCATACCACTCAATAAGTACTATCCAACTGACTCTTTACAGCTATCTACGACGATGTCCCATAAGTCAGTAGAGGATTCACTTTCGTCATTTTTATCAACTCTAGAATCTATGGAGTTACTAGAAGTGTACATGCTGCTGTTAGAATACGTAGCATGGGAGTTGGATCCCGAAAAGCCTATGAATCTACAAAAATTGCAAACAAGGAAGAAAAAAGGACATAAGAAGAGTAACGAGGGCACAAGGGAAATAGAGAAAGAAGGAAATACATCGAAACTGTGGAAAAGTAAAAAGGAAAAGATGAACGAGTAAGAGAGAAAAGAGTGAAAAGGAAAATTTAAAAAACCAAGTTGAAAATGAAAAAGTTGGGGAAGAAAGTGACAGTAAAGTGGAAGATAGCAACAAAATACCGAAACAGGCAAGTCTTATAGAAATTTAGTAAAAATAGGATAAAAGAAGAAAGACAACGGTAATCGGGAAATACGAACAGGTCTCATTACCATTTAAGTAATTCAAACGTGGCGATAATCAGACTACTTCGCAGAGGGACAAGTGGTAGAATATACGAAAGAATTTCGATATTTTGCGTTATCAAGCGCATCCATTCGGTTGTTTAAAATAGAACAAATTGGTCCACATAAGCTGCCTATTATCAACTTTTATAAATTTTTTAGTGCTTGAATCGGACAAATCGGTCCTGTCAACTTCCGTTTATTTTTGTCTTACTAGTCTGTTTTGTGTGTAGGTGAATTTGGACTATCAAAAATGTGCGGTAATCACTCAGGAAAAGGAATGAAGCCGAGCCAGTGCCCATCTCTCTCGCTTCCACCTTTGGTCACCAAATGTGAAAGTTTTCGATTGTCTCACGAGTTCAGGCTTCTCTGTTGAATTGACTAGTCTAACTGTTCCTTGGACTCACCTTCAACTTTTGAAGAAGTTGGTGAATTGTAATGTTTTGAAGGATTTCATCCCGATATTCCACTTTTTGAATTACTTTTGCGATATTGTATGGTATCCACTAATTCTGCATAATATTCTTAACTGTAAACGCGTTGCTTAGATTTCCAATAGAGGTAAAATTATTTATTTTAAGCAAAAAGTCCGATATGAATTGCATTTAGACAAATCCTTTGAAATGGGACTTAAAAACGGAAGAAAGGTAGTCGAGATCTCAAAAATTAAGGATATTTCCGTGTTTTACGATAAAATTCCATAAACAGGCTTGTAAAAAGTTTTAAAAATGGCAAAAAATTGCATTTGTTAAAAATTAAGGCAAAACTATCATATGACTGCTTATTATTCATTAACTTTTATGATTTCGCTGATTCCTGCTGGTGTATAGGTGGCAAGATATCATGCTGATGTCCACTGATCAAAAGTGCCTTGTCGTCCGATTTGCGCGTAACCTTGACACGGGTTTGGATTTTACACCTGAATTATTTACTATTCTGACATTTGTAACGGATATCAAAACAACCTCAATGTACTCGCTTACAAACCGTATAAATGTCTTACAAGTGTTCTCTTTTTGTTCAAAATACCCACCAGCTGACTAGTAATGCTACCCTAATCATTTTGTTTTCCGTCAATTTTTGACCACGCTGAGGGAAGGCTTGCTGATTTTGATATCTAGCTAAAATAAATTTGGTTAACCTGCTCAAAAGAACCTAGTGGAATTCATCAGATTAATCAGTGATACTCATTTCTGCTTCTACTTTACAAATATCTGACATCCATTTTAAATTAAAAAACGTAAAGATATAGTATTTGACCAGGAAAGAGGCTTAGACGGTACGGATTTTCAAAGGTAGTATCGCATTATCTCAACGTCTACTACTCAAAAGAGTCAAATCAGTCGCTTTCTCTTAAAATGTGGTTTATATCCTTTTTGGGCTGTTATAAATTAGCCATAAATAAGCGTTACTCCTGCTCCAACTCTTGGAAACAGAGGGCATTTGCCACCTAAGTGGCGTCACGTCATCAGGCATAGTTTTTCCTCCGGCCTTCTTATACTAAACTGAATCAAAGATGACGGAGCTGTTGATTATGTTTCCGATGAGGAAAACATTCGAGACCTTTCCAACTAGGGCGGAGTGCTTTCTTGAAGCCTACTTGGAGCTGCAGAGTTCTCAAAGTTAATTTATTTTAATTTCATTTTTTATAATTAACCATTTCTTTTGTTACCTATGAAAAAAAGGGAAATTAATGTTTAGCCTTTAAAGGGCTGACTTTCTTGCTTGGATGGTCGTTATAACGTGCATTCTTAACTATTAGATTTTATAGGTGCTTCCACACTAAGTGCAAATTTATTTACATCCCTTGCCCTTTTCTTCGCAACTTTAACCTCTACCTAATTAAATAAATGGCTCAGCGCGTAATATGGTGTAAGATCCTTAAATTCTCACTGACCTCTGTAAATGAAAGTCTGGCTGTCTAGCAGATAAAGTCGTAGCTTTACAAAATGGTCCATTTTACCACTTTTTTTCCGAGAATCGATAAATACAAAAAGGTGCCTGAACTAGGCTACTTATTTAAAAATTTTACTCCGTTCCGATCTTTACCTGGTTAACTGAACTTAGATGTGCTTCGAGTGAACTCTCTTTTATTGGCTTTCATACCAAAATTACAGATCTTGCATCCTATTTATGACTTCAACTCAGTAATTTTCAGATTTCGTCCTTAATTTTCTTTCCTTTTTCCAAAAAATGAAAAAATATAGGCATAAGAATTTTGTCAGCAACGATAGTTAACAAAGTGATGAGTGTAGTGATTTTCAGTCTTATAACTAAGGGAAAGTAAGCAATAGTCTTCAGTTGTCAAGAAAAATTTTCAAGGATTAAAACACTTCCCTGAAGGACAAATAATTAATAAACACTTCTCTTTATTTAAAACTGAGCCTTTACAAGTCTCCTATCATCATGACCTAAAACCGATACAATCAAGCCTACATCTGAATGCTTATAAATGGGTTATCAATTTACGTTGCGCCCCATGTAACATCAAACACACATTGAGTGGACACAATAATCTATAGAATAAAACAAGCCATAGGTTAGATTACACAAAAACTGGATAATGTCAACCGTTGGCTGGATTCGCAGTGGGAATTGGTGAAAAGTCTGAGGATGGAAATTTTTTTCACCTTGCCTTTATTTTGGTAACAAAATTGGCAGCCATCTTTTTGGCATCACTATTGTTTGAATGGAGACAGGGATTTGTAAAATGAAAGTCGATAAAAAGCTTGTCAAGTTTTTTTGGTGTCATTCCCGCCATTCGTAGTTTAAAATAATCTGGAGGGATTGTTTTCAATTTCCAGTTACCATCACTGTCCTTTGTGTAGAAAAAACTTTCATTGACATACGGCATCTCTTTCCCATAAGCAGCTGCCAAAATCAAAGGATCGTTGGGATCAGCGTCTGGTTTGATATGGGCCACTGATTTAAACATTTTAGAAGGGTAATATGGCGGACAAGCCCTACCAGAAGCCACTTGATCCCAATTGACACGTTTATAAAAGCGAAGCTTTTTTACTACAGATATACTTGCACGCTCCCTGAAGTTATATCTTAGGCAGGAATTAAGGAAAGATTTAAGAGGTCTTGAGAACTGTGTAAAAATATCCAGCTTCAATTTGCCCTTCTTTGACAATTTGAAGTTTTCAGTCAAAGTGGAGAAGTCGAGACGAGTTAAACCACACACTAGCACAGTCATAAGGATACCCAGACTCCATATATCTGCTTTCGTTGTGATAACCTTTTGTTGAGCAATTTCAGGCGCCATGTAATAAGGAGTTCCAGTGAAGTCCGAAGAGCTTGGAGGTTCCACTCTACGAGAAATGTCGTATGAGCGATCGAAATCTGTGATCAGGACGTGACCCGAGTCAGTCAGTAGTATGTTAGCGGGTTTGATATCCAAATGAACGATCTGCAAGGTGTGAAGGTGCTCTAGACCACAGATAATTTCAGAGGTATAAAACCGGGCTGCGTGTTCTTTGATTGCACCAGTGCAGGATAGGAGATTAATTAGGTCGAAACCGCTTCCTTTACTGATCACTAGAACTGGGGAACCATGGACTAGGAAACTGTAGTAGAGAACCGATAGGAATGGTGACTGTTTTGTCCCCAGCGCAAGATGCATTAGTATGCTGTGTTCACGAAGTGCGCATCTAATTGCAATGGGCCGTTGTGGAAAAAATCGCTTCATTGCATATGTTTTGCCCTTATCTTTTCCTTTGGTAGAACAGACTTCATAAATTAGCGAGAAGCATCCAATTCCAATAAATTTTTTCACATCAAAATTGTCTGGTCCCATTTTTGCCCACTTCTCTACAAATGAAGCTAAGATCTACCACTTTACACGATTCTGTATAAGCCAATCGGATGAGAGCATTCTTTGATTGGCTCGCGCGATGTGAAAGCGCACGAAAAATAATCACCCAACCAATTGCAGAGTGGAGCTAATTTATTTCAAGTACCCAGCGAAGTAACTGTCTGTGGTAATGCTTTAGCATCCATTTCGCTTATTGTATGTATTAATTTGCTTCCTGGAAAGTGTGAATTCACAAATGACATTCTTTCATGTATATTTGAGTCAGCTAAACATGTCAGTCGATGGATCAGTGATGAGATGGTCAAGATGCACCAATGTGGAAAAAGATTGAGTTTCCAACTTCTTCGATATTCTCTGCAAAAATGTCACCCAGGCGGGCATGGTTCTGTGACTTGCTCATCACTGTTCATGCCTTTTGTCTTTCGGGAGGAAAAAGTGGGGACATAAAAACAAATTTCGTAGCTTGTTTTTGTGTGCCATTTATTCTGATTCCCTCTGCCAAATTTACCTCTCCATTTCATTTCTTCTTCATTAAAATCTCGATTTCCAAACTGTTAGAATTCCTAATCATTCAAAACGGGTTTAGAGTTAGCGAAGCTAGAAAAGTTTGCTTTACCGAAGAATCAAAATGGGAGAACTTTCGTTTTGATGCAGAATAAGAAAAATTTTTACATTACTGCAAAAAACCACAATTTTGTCTTGTTTTCCTCTTACGAGTCTAAGACAGCCCTTTTGACGCATGCCTTATAAAATCTCAAAGAATCTGACTTTTTTGATAAAAAATATTGTAGCTGCCACTCTGAATGCAGGACAAGGTCGAGTAGGTTTACTTCTAAATATCGGAGAATAAATTAGTCCTGGTGAACAGAGCTTTCAACAATGGCCTTTGAGTGACTAGAGTAGACTGAATGGCACTGGCTGTCCTTTAACTCCTCATGAAAGATCAGTGGTTCCAGATGAGTGGGTTGGTGGAGAAATTCCTTCCATAAGTTAAACTTTTCTGACGCAATCATTTTTTTTCAAAATATTTCGATCAGCTTTATCGTATTGTCCAGGCCCATCATTAGTAACCGTACACAAATTGCAGATTAATGAATTGCTCCTGAGAAGATTAAGGTGGCACATGGTTGGTATTCTCAAGTTGGCAAGTCACTTATGATTAAGATCTCAGCACGTGACTCAGCCTTTACTGTCTAGTTTCTAACGCCAGGTAAAGATCAGGCAAAGGATGCGGTTAACCGATTGTATTTTGAACCGGGTCGTTTTAAGAGTCCTTGTGGGTCTAAATTTTCATGGACTGTGACTGTCGTTTTATGACTGATCATTTGATTGATTGACGCTTAAAAGATTGTAAAAGTACACTCTACTGGTGGATTGAAAGGATAGTCTACCTGGTTGCTAAAGAAACTATTCTAATTTTGTCTCTAAAACATTAAAGTGTATCACCTCTATCATTTAGACGAACAGCAATGGACCCATTCGGTTTTTGTCGTTGAAGAACAGGTGACCGAAAGCTGCTTTTTCCTTTTGGGTGGACCAAAGCTTTTCCGCTCTTCTTTCATCACACCTTTCAGGGTAACTCGCTTATTTTACATAACGAAAAAAGGCAAATGAGATCTTGCTGTTGATAGGAGTCAAAATCGCCTCCTGCATCAATGATTCCGTGAACTTTAGTTTTTTATCCAGAATCAGCTCAAGCTTTGTTAGTTTATACCATCTAAGTCCTGCGTCGCCATGTGCTACGAACCGGCATTTCTAGCATCAAAATATCAAATAACTTCCCGTCATATCCTTTGTCCATGTCATATCCTAACCTCTTATCTGTGTGTTTCACTATCTCTCTGGGGTCGATTTAGGCACAAAGCTCCGTTCTCATAGGTAGGCACCCTTGTTGTTATTTCACATTTTTTGTAGATAAATGTTTCTACTTAAATCGTCCACCCCTTTTAGGTGGACCTCTAATAAATTCATTTCTTTTATCACTCTCAAATAGGAGTTCTCCACTGCATTAGATATATGGGGTGTGGAAAGACCTTTTTTGTCAAAACCCCTTTTTGGTTTTAATTTGAACAAAATTTTTATCAAATTTTATTCTTTCGTTGAAATTTGAATCAAACAAGATTGTTTACTCACTACGTAAGAAGATGTTTTATATGACAAGAAATAACCTAGTTCTGTGACTTGCATTTTGGGAAGTGCAACCCCATCTCTTACCACACCAAAAGGTCCCTGGTCCAGATGCAGTAGTACAGTAAAAGATATAAGATCGGGGACAGGTGAACGAGAGTGAAACATAAAGTGACTGGAAATCGAAAAAAAAGGCTAACTATGCCCTTTTTTCCCTTTTAAATACGACACAAAGTGAACAGCGACATTTCGAAACAGCAATTAGGGTATCTCAAAAAATTTCGCTTTATACCATCTTGTTTAGGACTGTGATAAATTGGAGAAATGAATACAGTGGTGCAAGTTGGAGGGTGTCTAGTAAATCATAAATTACAATCCTTTGAGTTTTTAGCTTTAAAAGCCTCTTTTTTATAAAAAGCAAGTGGAATGGAGACCTTTCAGCAGATTTCGGTCAGTCTATTTATTCTTTCATGAGAATGGCGCTATCTGCCGCAAATATTTTAAGGTTATGCAGTAGAGTGAAAAAGAAATCTCCAACCATGTGCGGTCAGTTAGAAGAAATCTAATGGCATTTTTTGAGGAACCTGAGAACTGATGAATGAGAAACCTCGAAGCACGAATTGTCAACTGAAAGGACAGCTTATGTCACCTTTAAAAGAAAGCGCTTGTTATTGTATGGCAGTGCTTATGGTCGAGACTGTATGTAGACAAACAACATTAGTCTGTTCCTTGCAGTGTTTATAAGGCCACACCCGATAGTTCTTTTACAATGGGTTACTTTACTGACTTCTTGCAACCGGTAGACATTTTTTAAGAGTGGTCATTATTCACATCAGTTAAGCTAGAGCCTTCCAGAAGACATCTTAAATTCAAAACCACTTACGCAATAATTGAGGTGGATTAAACTACCCATGGTTTTGCCTGCTCAAGTTCTGCTAGATCTACAGGTGGTGCTTTGGGGTCAGTCTTAACTTTGTGGATGGCAATGTATTCCACTTACGCGCAGCCTCTTCCAGTCAAATGAAGATGGATTGAGTACATAGTTTGGATATATTGATAAGTACTGTATAACTTCAAATACACATAAAAGAGGAGTTATTCCAATTATATGAAGACATATTTGCCTGATCACATCAAAATATCAATGGGTGTCCCTTGTTTTGTCCCGACCATTCCATTTCAATTCGTTAAATATAGTGCTGGCATTTACCTTGCCTTACCCATTTGACTTCGGAATCCATCACTAAGTATAACATATTACTTTGGTATTTCACTGATATTCATTAAAATAAGAATGGTTTTTTCATTGAGTTAACTTGAGCTTCCGAATGTTTGCTATTAGGAAATACAATGGCTACTAGAGATCATTGAGTAGTCGGTAATGCCTTTGCATTAAAAAAAGATTGGGAGATGTCTCACCTCCTGCGCATTGGTTGTAGAACTGCTACAGTATAAATAAACCCATCCATTAGAGTAGTAAAAAAGACACTTATGTCTTAATAGTTCAATTGAATGGGAACAGTGAGCACTCATAAGCAAGTGATTGAAAAATTATTTCTATATTGCACATTTTATCAAGAAACCGAGGCAAATCATAGATAACCGACCACATCAGAATCTTTTCTTTCCTTTTTTTTATGAGTAAATAAAAATACCAAATCTAGTAGAAATTCTCACAGACCAAACGGACAGATTTTAGAGGAAATATCAGCTCTCTAATGCAGTTCGAACCCCATGCATCTTATCCCTACTAGTGGTCAGTTAATAGTTCACCTCAAAAAGAAAATTCACTAATGTAAATGTAAATATGCATCGAGGAGAGCTACAGGAAAGTTATTTTCTTAATCAGGATTGCTGGAGGTTCGAAATTGCTCTCTATCGTGTTTTGCAGAATCACTGGAATCTTTAAATTCCCCCTTTCCTTCTCCATCTCCCCCTCTCGACTTAGTGGCTCCTGTTAAACTACTTGCTAAATCAATAAGCTTACTGCTTTGAACAAAAGGACTTGTAAAATTAAAGCCGGTAAAATATTTTTCAATTTTTCTGGGCGTCAATCCTGCTTCAATCAATCCTTCGTAATTCGGAAACAATGCAGATAGTTAACGAGTCCTATCCTCTTGAATTATATACTGAGGAGTTCTTCATATAACTGGCATGCCCACTCCATAAGCAGACTAAAGAATCAGGGGGTCACGTGGATCAAAGTCAAACTTAACTTGATCATTGGAGATGTTCAAGTTAGGAGGTAAATAAGGTGGTTGTGTCCTGCAAGCATGCATTTCATCCCATTTAATATAACTGAAAATGGGAAAGTCTTTGACTTCATCAATAGATGGACGCATTTCGTAATTGTATAGAAGACAGTAGTTGAAAAAGAGTTAAAGAGATGGTGTTGGGGAATCAAAATTTTGTATGTTCCATTTACCTCTCTTTGCAAAATTATAATCTTCAGACCAGTTATGGGTAATATTTCGAACTTGACCAGCCACCATTACAGCCATAAGAACGACCATGCTCTAAACATCTGCTTTGGTTGTAAGCACTAACTTGTTTGCAATTTCAGGCGCCATAAAATGAGGATGCCCGAATAGTCGTCAAAAAATGGGGCTCTCAACCTAAGGGAATGATCGTAAGAGTGGTCAAAATCTGTAATTAGGATATGACCCGAATCAGTGATTAGCATATTTTCAAGTTTAACATCTAAGTGGGTAATTTCCTTAGCATGGAGATATTCCAGACCACAAATTACCTCACAAATGTAAAATTGAGCAACTTTTCCCTCAGGTAGCCAACTTTGAACAAAAGATCACAGAGGTCTAGACAGCTTCCCCTGGTCGTCACTAGGACTGGAGACCTGTGAACTCGGAAGCTATAGCAGAGAGTGACCACGAAAGTTGACCGATCAGGATCCATCGTAAGGTGCAGAAGGGTTCGACGTTCTCGAATTGCGTATTTAAGAGCTCAAGCATTTTGTATAAAAAACAGTTTGAACGCATATTTTGTGCCCCGGTCCCCTTCTCTTGTGGAAACTGCGTCATAAATCATTGAGTAGCATCCACCCCCGAGTGAATTTAACTATCTCAAAATCCTTTGGCTTCATTTCAGCTTATGTCGATTGAAAATAAACTCAGAAGGCGCCATTTCACCATAATTTGTAAAAACCAATCTTTTTTCAGCTTATATTTGATTCTTTCATTCCAATTGAACCAGTTTATGGGAAGTGACCAAATGGATCTGACTTCCATTCATGCAGTAAATCAAACGGGGATTAGGCTTCAGGAAAGTGGTAATCAACTTAGGATACAGCTATATGATTAGTGGGTTGCCTTACCATAATCTCCGTTTAAAAATATCCGTTAGGGCTTTTTTTCCTGCAATAGGCTTAAGTAGAGCCATAAAGACTGTCTCACTGCAATTCTAGAGGTGAAAATGAACCAAATACTTGATTTTAAATGTTTTTTACTAAAGGTGGAAAGTATTTGAGAGAACTAACTGTGCGGGAGTAAAATCGTAACATTTGGCAGAGTAACGTGGCAAGGGAACTTATTAGAAGTTGTGTTTTCACTACGAGGAAGTCGGACGAATACCAGGTTGCAAGTAACCAGTTAAGATTTCGAGACCTCCACAAATAAAATAAAGACGGTAAAATGTTAGAGGGCATCAATGTGGTTTTAGTCAAAAGGGGAAAATAATGTGAATGATCCGCCTAAACTAAAGGATCATGGATAATTTACTCGAACTTATATTACCCAAACTGTCCCTAAGAGTCCAAATCCCATAATTCGTCAAAGATAAGAAGTCAGTGCGTTTAAGTGTAAGTAGATGAAATTCCAGAACTGTAAAGTGAACCCGCGAAATTTTAAAAATTCACATTTTAAATTAAACTAAAGTTGGTTTGGAAATAAGTAGAGGGTAAGGATGGATTCAGGTTATCCCTCTTTGGAATCGTGAGTTCAAAGAAAACATTTATTAGCGAAATGTTGGGAATCTTTGCCAGAATCTGCACAAACCCTAGAACATTCCCTAACACTCACATCTCTCTAACGTGAAATTTAATGACCAAAAATAGGTGATCCAAGAAGTTTTGGAGTGGGGCACACTCTTTTATCCAACTAGGGTTTGCTAGAAGATTTCCTCAATCCAGTGTGGAATGCTCACCTCTGGCTGCAAGTGTTTCTACGTAATAAACTCTGAAGTCCGCACCGATTTCCTTCTTTTTCCTAACCCGAAATGGTGAAAATCTTAAAGCAAACTGGCTTAGATTAATTTAGTCGCAAGAATGCAACTAAAAGTGAAAATTATTTTACAGCTGCAGATGCAAACGTGTTTGCACTTACCATTGTGTATTAGTCAGTTAGAGCTAAAATATAAGTACGCATTTTACTTTTTGAGTTAGTAAACAAAGGGCAAAAGTATATTTATTAGCTGCCATTCTGACAAAGAAACAAAAAAACACTTAAACATCACTGACGTCATAAAGTCAGTTAAATTTGTACTGCACTTACAAAAGTTTTGGCACTTTCATTTATAAAAAAAATCTCAAAAATAGCAAATTTACTTTATATGTTTTCAAATTGATCGTCTTGACAAAATAGGTGGTTTTGATTGTGATTCTGCGGATGATGAATTTAGCTTAGTGTCATAACTTGTCGCTATCTTTTACGTCTTCCAAATAAAAAGGGGCAAGTTTTTTGGCCTATTTTTACTGTTAGTGAAGTGCTACACTAGTCTGACACCGTCAGCTGTCAAGATTAAATCATGTGAACAGAGGTGGTGTGCGCTCGTTTGTTGATATAGGCTATTCAAAATTAAAAGTCAAGCAATGCACCACTTTAAAGTAAACTTGCTACTTTGTTAGACCAATGCCGATCGTGTTCTGCACCAAAACATTTTCTCGTACTTTGTTGCATAGTTTAGCCAATGACAGAACCTACATTCACAGCCAAAAAAAACGGGGTATTCAGTTTTAGTAAGGTGAAGAATACACTTATAAAGCAACCAGATTCAAGTGGAGACAGTTACACGTAACCAACATATTATTTTTGCTACGTGGTACTTAAGGTGCGGGTTAATGACTAGTCAGTTTTATCTTGACAACAATGAAATTTCCTAATGTATGAACTTTAGGTACTCGTAGATAAACTGTCGGTACGCACTGCGCAAAAAACAGTTTTTACTTAGAACAGGAGCTAATTAACCTTTTTGGTTTTTCTTGCTTATTTAGCACTTCTTCAAAAGGGTATTTATGACAAGCCAATTTCGCTTGACAACAACTACATGGCAAAGATTATCCTGTAAAAACAATGGAGCCGACAAGAAGGAAAAACGTTTGTTTTATCAATTTGTTTACTCATTCATTTTGCCTTATCCAAAAGTTTGTCGGTATCTCCAAAAAAAGCTGAGTTAAAATCGACTTAGAAACGAAGGCTCTGCTTCAATCTTTTTAGTCGAAGTATTTAAATCGCGCATCAATCTACCCTCATAAACTGATTAAATATGCCGAAAATAAGTTTAATCGTTGAAAGCGCCAGTAATTTAAAAACGTTTCCAGTAATTTCACAATCACATGCAAAGTGTATAGTTTCTAAATATGTTTGTATTGTAAATGCGCATAGCTTTGCCATTGTTTAGCAAAGAGACAAAATATTTTTTCCATTTTTTTTCAAGAATTTTCTTTCTTTTGCGGAAAAGAGACTTTGGATTGGTAGGTACGAGGGTTAAAACTATCCCATTTTAATGTCCAACATAAAAGGTGAATTGCTCATGGTGAAGAGTCAATTATTTGAACATAAATATACCCAAAAGTCGGTTTATAGGTCCATATATGAATGGTCAAATTCAATAAATGGGCAGGGTGAGACTTTGGGATTTAGCAGTTCTAGTCGACTCTGGTGTATTTTACCGAAGAAGGATAGGTTTTGCTAAGGCTAGCATAAATCAGCAAAATTTATCCGTAAACTGTTTCTCGTTGTGTAAAATAATTAAGTAAATTATAGGAATGCAATGTTGATGCTAATGTAATGGAGCAGGCTATCCGTAGCATGGTGGATTGTCTAAGAAATATCCAAATGCTGCAAGTACTTGGCGAGCATTTCATTTAGTAAAGCACCCATGTATGAATTCAATTCTCATTCTCTACCTTGGCATGAGTCTGCTGCAAATTTATACTTCACGCAAAGTAAAGGTCGTGCATGGCCTTGATCGGCTGATTAAGAGGGTATGGATTTGAGACGTAATTAATGGCCTTCAACAGGAGG